CCCCAAAACCCCAAAACCCCAAAACCCCTACATTAATATCAAAATTAATAAAAAAAAGTCTTATGATAATAATTTCAATTTATTTGCCTTAATATTATAAACTAAGAGCAGTATGCTGATTAATTTACAATAATATTCAGTTTCCAAGCTTAAATACTTTTTCAAAGCCAAGAAAATTAATTGCTTGCTAATCAATAATAGATCTCAAATCAAAGAATAATGCTTTATCATTATTCATCTAATCTCTCATATTTCTATAGTTAGTTGTAATATATTCATCCCAGTCAGTACCGATAATTATTGCATTTGAATCTTTTACAGCTTTTGAATAATCTGAACCACAAAATTCGAAGTTTAATTTCTCTGCGATACTGAAACCCTACATCTCCATCTCGATTTAAAATCCTCTCTCATTAGCTTGAGGGTCATGAATTCTTACATGAAAGCCTTTTTCAATAAGTCCATAGACGAAGAAAGCCATTGGTGACATTCTTGTGTCTGAGGTATTTTTTTTAAATGCAAAGCCGAAAATTGTAAGGATCGTATCAGTAGGGTTTTAAAACTCCTATACAATCATATTTAGTAATCTCGTCTTCTAGAATTAATTCATGTATAGTACTTGGGACCAGTACATTGCTTGCTAGGTCTATCCAAGAGATTCTAAAATGTAAACTAAGCTTTGAATATCCTTTTCGAAACAACTTCCACCAAAGGCAGGTGAAGCATTCAAGAAGAGGGGTCCAACTCTTTTATCAGACCCGACTATCTTGGAAAGATCTTAAACTGATGCTCCTACAGTCTCACATAATTAAGACATTGAGTTTATAGATGATATTCTCTAAGCTAGCATTGCATTTGCAAAGAGTTTGCCAAGCTCACTACTTGCAGTTCTCACATGAATGAAATTAGTGTCAAAATTAGTATACAGTCCCTTGATAACTTCAAATGCTTCCATGCCATTTTTATCTGTGGGAGTACCAATCACGACTCTATCAGGAAATAGTAAGTTCTAAATAGCAACACCTTCAGCCAAGAATTCAGGCATAGACACAATAGTATAGCAATCGTCGGGGTTGGCAAGATTCTGAGATAGTATATTATGGATGCGCTTGTGTGTTCCAACAGGTACAGTGCCTAAAAATAGATTTAATATTTTCAGAACAAGTACTTTTTTCAATTAAGATTCTATGCTTTTTTGGATCACCCATTGAAGCAATCGTCTAGCAAGCCATATCACTAAAAAAAGGGTAAATTATTGTTTTAGACTTACAAATATGTCATGTCTGATTCTCTGCCTAATCCTTCACGAGATTCTTTCTTTGGAGGCGTGTTTACACAAATGAAAATAGCATCCGATTCCTAAATTGCCTCGGTAATTTTAGTAGTGAATTTAATGTTTTTGTTCTTGTTGACTGCGATCTATAAAAATATATATGATAAGGAAATAATAAGGAAAACTACTTTATGATTAGAAAGTAGAAGCAAAAATCTTTCTACTTACATCAAATTATTTATCCAGATCAGGCTCGTAGAAGGGATATCTCTGATCATTCCAACTGTTAATCAAGTTTTGATTTACATCGCAGACAATAACTCTAAGGTTTGGTTATTAGGCAGCCAATATTATTGAAGTTAATGATCCAACATATCCAGCCCCAACACTGCAAACAGTGAATCTTCCTTCTTCAAGTTTTTGCTTAAGAGTAGAAGCGTAAGTTTATTTCTCAGGTAGCATCAATATAGTGAAATTTATATTATAAAATGTATTTATACTATTGCTTTATCCCTTATTACCGATTATTATCCCTAGTGGGGTTTTGGGGTTTTGGGG